AAGAGATAAAAATATATCGATATGTTTTAAAAACTCGATATATCGCCCAGCTCTAGTGCATCCTATCCTTTAAATTGTATTCCATTATTAATGTCATGCATAGAATTAACCACAGTGTCAGCTGAGCATGGCCTGATCAGTTAACATTGTTTCATATCAGTCCTTCAGTATTGCAGCATCTTTGAGGCCAAACATCTCCACTTTGGTCATGTCTGTCCAAGGGACACTGTCCCAGAACTCTCGTGATTTGTTCACATAAAACTTTGCAAAATCCTGCTGCCATGTTGTTTTGGGGGAGAATAAACTTCTTATTAATTTTTCGTTATTTTGCAAATTGGTGTTCGAATAAAACAACCGTGTTTTATTGTAGCCACTGGAATTTCTGTCATAGTAATTATACTGCAGCACATCTATGAACAATCAGCCCATAAAATATGAATACAAGTCTGTGAAAATTTTCCTTATTCACTTACAAGTAATTCATTAACTTTAAAAATAGGGCCCCTGCTTTTAAAGTTAAACAAATATCACTGTAAGAAATATTTCAGGAACTGGCTAAATAACCCATATGGAAAATATATATATAAACCTTATAAAGTTTGTATCCGTCTTGTGTGAAACTTGTATGAAAAGCATACAAGAGTGAAAACAGAAAAATTATATAAATGAAACTTGTATGTTCTGGATACTTACTAAAACAATAAATGAAAGTGGCCACTTTCATGAGTAAATCATATAAGCCTTATATGATTCACTATATGAAGTAGGCCACATCTGATGCAAGTCTTTTATAAGTTTTTCTATTTCTTTTCCATATGGGAAACCTCCAGTATAAGCAGGTTAAAAGACGACAATGGTCAAAATATGTCTTTATACAAAAGGGCCTGTTATTCATAACAGCACCTTCTCCATTGTTGCACTGTTATATACACAGAGAAATCAGCAGTTCAAAAATGTGTAAGAAACTGTGTGTCCTTGATCATCTTTTCATAAATAAGGAAGCTGTTGTTTAATGATGAATGTTTGCCTTTATATCTTGGCAACCAGTGCAGTTTGATCCTAATTTCACAGGACCTGTAATGAATAGGTAAGTCTCACTCAAAGCTCACTGGATAGGTGGTGAAATCCTTACATTTTAGCCCCCCTGTCCTCTGTCTAGCTGTGTGGTTTCTGGTGTAATGTGTAGAGCAGGGCGATATGACCAAAAATATTTATCACGATATATATTTGAAAATTTGCGATAACGATATAACTGACGATATAATTGATGCGAGACAAAATACAACTCCACAACATTACTAGCGCAAAAAGACAACCTTCCATTTATTTTCACTTAAACAAGAAGCTGGTTTTTATGTACATTAAAGCTTTATAAAAATGTAACAGTGCAAATGCAAATTCCTTGCTGAAAGTTTAACCAAAAGGCATTTCCAGTAGAAATGGGCTGACATATCCTGAGCATAACCATGTATAATATCCACTGAAGTTAAAAAGAGGTGCTTTGCAACATTAAACTGCAGTGTGCAGTACGTATTTTTCGGACCATAAGGTGCACGGGATTATAAGGCACATTAAGCGAAACAAAGCAGTCAGATAAATCAAACTTTATTAAACTCATTCTTCTTGCTTCCTCCACTTCTGTACCATTGATTCATTAATGTTGAATTCTCTGGCAGCTGCTCTATTCCCATGTTGTTGCAGTATATTAATGACTAACCTCGTATTGTGGATGGATTATCTCAGTTGTTCTCCTGACTGAAGTTTGGTCCGTTTACAGCATCCTGCCATGCGATTGCATTTGTCTCTAACCATGAGGAACCTTCACGTTAACTTTTATAAGTGGAAAAGTGTTAGTGTTCGTCCTCCAGCTTCACTGTTTATGTTATGCTAACATAGCTGTGTCGCTAGCGATCACGTAGCACATCATTATATACCAGCTAGCCCAACTTCAGTAACCCTACAAACGTCACTGCTGTTTAGTTTCCTGTCTTCATTTATGTTGGAAGTGATAGCAGAGCTGTACGTTTGAATATTTCCAGAAATCTCTGTCAGAACATGCTTACAACTACACATGTTTCTTTTCCAACTATTTATTTATGAGTGAAGTATGTATGTGTATATATGTATATATTGTACTATTCTTAGTTAGTGTATTGTCTGTCTTGTCTTAATGTTGGTTTAAAATGGAGCACTGTAACAAAAAATAATTTCCCCCAGGGATTAATAAAGTATTCTGATTCTGATATCATGCTTAGGTAACTAGCGAAACTAGCGAGCTAACTTCCGCTAGCTTCCTGCTAACTCAACTCGTTAAATGTAATAAATTTTGTTTTCATGGATGCCTGGAAGTTAAACTTCATAGTTACACCTGGTAAAGCAGCAATGCTGATCGTTTTATTAAAGATGAAAGAATTTAGACAGTTTTTAACTCTCAGTGATGCTGCAGTGTTCGTTTGACCTGAAGATACGGAGTTTAGGACCCAGATTACTCCCAGATTTAAGAGCATCTTAGTCCGACAAATACGACAATAACGACGGCCGCTTGCATGTTCTGCAAAAAAATGTGCTTTGTCGTGTATCTGACGGACAAACACCAAACCAGTTCCACATCACTGAAGTTGCACCATTTTTACAAACCAATTCTGGTTCATCTGTTTCACTCAACAATCGGCCATGTGCGTATGAAAACAAAGGCACTGCGCATGCGCGTTTTACTCATATTCTATCGCGATATTTCATTTTCCTATCGTTGCCTAACATTATACCGGTATTACCGTGAACGGTATATATATCGTGATAAATATTTTTGGTCATATCGCCCTGCTCTACACATTACACCAGAAACCACACAGCTAGACAGAGGACAGGGGGGCTAAAATGTAAGGATTTCACCACCTATCCAGTGAGCTTTGAGTGAGACTTACCTATTCATTACAGGTCCTGTGAAATTAGGATCAAACTGCACTGGTTGCCAAGATATAAAGGCAAACATTCATCATTAAACAACAGCTTCCTTATTTATGAAAAGATGATCAAGGACACACAGTTTCTTACACATTTTTGAACTGCTGATTTCTCTGTGTATATAACAGTGCAACAATGGAGAAGGTGCTGTTATGAATAACAGGCCCTTTTGTATAAAGACATATTTTGACCATTGTCGTCTTTTAACCTGCTTATACTGGAGGTTTCCCATATGGAAAAGAAATAGAAAAACTTATAAAAGACTTGCATCAGATGTGGCCTACTTCATATAGTGAATCATATAAGGCTTATATGATTTACTCATGAAAGTGGCCACTTTCATATATTGTTTTAGTAAGTATCCAGAACATACAAGTTTCATTTATATAATTTTTCTGTTTTCACTCTTGTATGCTTTTCATACAAGTTTCACACAAGACGGATACAAACTTTGTAAGGTTTATATATATTTTTTCCATATGGGTTATTTAGCCAGTTCCTGAAATATTTCTTACAGTGATATTTGTTTAACTTTAAAAGCAGGGGCCCTATTTTTAAAGTTAATGAATTACTTGTAAGTGAATAAGGAAAACTTTCACAGACTTGTATTCATATTTTATGGGCTGATTGTTCATAGATGTGCTGCAGTATAATTACTATGACAGAAATTCCAGTGGCTACAATAAAACACGGTTGTTTTATTCGAACACCAATTTGCAAAATAACGAAAAAAAAATAAGAAGTTTATTCTCCCCCAAAACAACATGGCAGCAGGATTTTGCAAAGTTTTATGTGAACAAATCACGAGAGTTCTGGGACAGTGTCCCTTGGACAGACATGACCAAAGTGGAGATGTTTGGCCTCAAAGATGCTGCAATACTGAAGGACTGATATGAAACAATGTTAACTGATCAGGCCATGCTCAGCTGACACTGTGGTTAATTCTAAGCATGACATTAATAATGGAATACAATTTAAAGGATAGGATGCACTTGTTTAAAGCTATTTTAGCCTCTTATTTTCTCCCATTTGGATATTTTGTAATTCTCCTTACAGTCAGATTTCTGAGGTGTCCTGATTTGTCAGCAAAAAAACTGTCAAAACATATTACAACTAAGTTATCTGTAAAACAATAAAACAGTTTCATTAGGCTAATATTGGCACGTGGGATAAAAATACACTGCCTACTGTTAAACAGGAAGATAATTAAGATAACACTGAACAACCTAACACTCATAAAAATATAATCCACTTTAGAAACAATGGGTTTATGCTAATAATAATTTTATTAAAAAAAATTTAGAAACTGATTTAAATCTCTAACAACAAATGAACACAGTTCTTACAAAGCATTTAACTCTAAACTCATTTATTTCATTGTTCTCTCAGCTGCCATTGGAAACTTTAAAGGCTGAAAGCAGATCTCTGAGAACACCAATGGTTGACATCAGCTCACCGTACTCAGATTTTGGGATTTTCCTCTGGCTTAATTTTGTTAGCCATGTTGCGCACCTGTTCCTCCTTTACGCATAAAACACAAGAAGCTAAAACTCATAACCAATAGCTGAAGAAATCTTTTTTTTCCCCAGGACCTTTCCAGATGGTGAAAAAAGAGTGAAACTCTGATCTCACGTAGTCATTTCCTGTAACCAGGGAATGACGCGGCATGCGTGCCTCCATGGTTGACCAAAGATTGTTTATTAATAAGAGGGCTCGCTCTGCATAGCTTATAGTAACCCGGTCTTTAAGTCTGACGACATTAGCCGATTCCGGGTCCAAACTCTGCTTCAGCTCCCAAAGTCAAACAAACACTGCGGTATCACTTAGCATTACAAACTGTCTAAATTATTTCATCTTTAATAAAATGGTCAGTGTGGCTGCTCTACCAGGTGTACCAATTAAGTTCAAAATCCAGGCATCCGTGAAAACAGAACTCATGAAATTTAACGTAATGGGAAGTTAGCCTGGCGTTAGCTTGCTAGTTTCCAGCTAAACATAATATACCATGTTCTGACTGATGGATTTCTGAAAAATTTAAATGTACAGCTCTGCTATCACTTCCAGCATAAATTAAGACAGAAAACTTGTCACTGTGCCCCCCCCCCCCCCCCTTCTTTAATATTGACAGTTATAGCGAAACAGCAATACTATAAGGTACTATTAAAGGTACTCAGGGCCATGCAGAGATGTTTAAAGGGGCGGGTGCTCAAAGTTAAAAAGGGGCGTTTAAAACCAGGCTGAATAACAAAAACCCACATTTATCAGGAATCTAATATGGAATTGCATCATACTATATCACTGTCATTAGGTGGGAACAATGCAAAGCAAACGTAGCCTGTGTTTTACCTGATGAGCTACAATGTTGCTGTTGAGTGGTTGCTCCTGCTGCTAACAGTGCTGGAGGGCAGAGCTGTGTTGATTTGAGACTGTAGACATTAAGAAGTCCATAGGAGAGATGGTAGCTGATTAAACAAGTGCTATGAGATGATAACAATACAATGCAAAAATTGGAACCATAACACAACAGAAATAAACAAGGCTCTGCCTGTGACTCACTCTTTGCCTCTCTTCCTCCTTTCATCTCCTCACTGATCTATCACTGTCCACTTGCTGTCCATCTGAGAACAAGGCACAATTTGCTATTGCATTAAACTATTATTTAATTATCCATACTTAAAAACTCTTGTACCTAATCCATAATAAAGTAACAATAGAAAATGTTATAGAACCAAATCATTGCAATTGTGTTTATTATTGTTTTTATACTTGAATACCTCTGCAATGCAACAACCTGTACATGTGTTAATGTTAGGGTCTTTTTAATCCAGCTGCTGAGGGATCCACAGTCTCTCACAACTCCTTCTGTCAGTTTCCTCCTCATGTCCTTACTGGGCATGTGTGGCCTATGTTATATCATGTGTAATATATTAAACAAATCGATACATGTAAAACATGTACAAACACACGCACAATGACATTTTATACCTTCTTTAGAATACGAATACTAATTCTAATACACTATGGACACAAGTTTTCATCATGGTGCTGATACAGAATCCTTGCCTTGTTATTTACTCCTAGTGCTATAATAATAAAGTAATGAGAATTTAAAAAATAAAGTAATAAATATAAATAATGCATTTATGATGATATGATTTGTTTCACTATCAACTCTGTGCAAGGTAGAAAGCTTATTAAATGTTTAAACTGTAGAAATACAATAATTTTACTGCTGTAAAATCAGCATTTTGTCATTTTCGAAATATAAATCTAATATAATCTGTTTCTTCATGCATTTTTTTAAACACTGTAATTTTTTAAAATATCATATTATAATGATCCATAATTATGTGGATTGGCATATCAGATAGTTTTTCGTGAAATATAAGTGCTCCAGAAAAGCAGGGAAAAGCCCTGTAACCTACTTTAAAACTAAATATGTTCTCTTGAACTGTGGACAAAGCTACAAACCCTTGACACCCTAACCCAGTTAGCTAGCAGCTAATGACCACCACTACTTGTGCAGTTAATAAAAGGACAGGTAATGTTTTGTTGTGCTGTTGCACACACAGCCAGCTCATTTGTTTCAATTAATCAGTTTCTACAAGACAACTTACCAGCGTGTACTTAATAACCTAATACTCCTGTGTGCCATAGACTATGGTGTATGCTGTACACCCTACTTACTGGTTTTTGTTGCATCAGTCTGTGTTGTGATTTCCATCAGGCTGAGTTAGTTTTTGTTTTATTTTAAAACAAAAACAATAAACTTCCACTTTCAATCAAAACAAATAGCGCATGTATTAACTTTCGTTGTTTGTGAATAGGACTGAAAGGTGACGTGAAATGACGTGCTAAAATGACGGTCATCAGAAAAGTTTGCAAAAAGACCCCAACACTTACCCGAACTTTCTGTTTAGTGCGCCAGCGTCAGGTAAATAACACCCCAATGTAATCACCTGAGGTACAGGAAAATCTAAACACCTGTGCCACCAGAACAAATAAACAAAACATAAACATTCAATTTGGCTCTTACAATACTGGCCCCTAATTATTCTTCTTCAAATCATAATTACAAAATAATCAAGTCTTACAACTTTTGCTGGTTTATAAAGAATTCCAATTACCCTGTAGTGCAAAATTGACCAGTACCACTACTTATAACACCACGGTTCACCATCTGTGAAGTTAATAACCCATAAGTAAAAAAAGTAAGCCACTTGGAGATGATTAAGTAATTCAAGTTTGTTAAAGTTCTCTGCTTCCTGCAAAAGACAGACTTTATTTATAGCTCTATTTAAGAACAAATCCTTTTTTGTCCTGAATTGTCTCTTCAATTTTTCCAGTTATCCAGGAATTCCATTGTGCTGAACCATCAACAATGAACACAATGTGTCCTGGCATGAAGTTTCGTCTTGGATTGCACCATTTCTGTCTTTGTTGCAGTTGTGGAAGATATTCCTTAATCCACTTTTCCAGAATAAATCCAACATATATTGGACTTATTTCCATGTGCGGTGAGCATATATGTCATCTTTCTGAAAACATCCTGGTGGTAGTAATGGTGCAGTCTTAAGAAGCAACAGGTGGTTCTGGGTAAGTGCTTCAAGGTCATTTGGATTTGTAGAACCTTTGTGGGACGAGCATTCAAAAAGCTTCAGCTTCACATAAAGCAGTCCTGAGACCCTCTTCATCAAGACTTTGTACATTTAAGGTGGAATTGAGAATTTTTCTCACAGATCCTGTCTTTCCCATACACCTCCATGAAGGGAGCGAGCTGGGGGATGGAAAGTCCATTTAATGCCCTTTTGGAGAAGTGTACATCATATAACAGTAAGGCCAACATTTCTTGACTGCTCTGTCAAGCCACAGATCAAACATACAGTTCCATCAGTTATTCAGGCTTTAGACAGTTCTACGTATTCCGTATCATTGTCTAAGTGACGTTAATATATATTTTGTAAAGCATTATAAAACCATAAAAAGATCATTGTATGTCTGTATGTGTTGGGAACAACAGATTTACACACATACCACATAACAACGTGGTGCTATCCCCAAAATATATAATAAACATGAGAAGTGGAAGTGAGAATAAATGCTGTTTAACTGCAAATAAATGCTGTTTAACTGCAAAGCAATACAATTACTATATGGACAACACATGATTGTGTTATATGTACACAAACATTTCCTCAGTCAACCAAGTGAAATCAGAAGTCTTCACTTTCTAGTCTGGTGTGATTGTTTGTAAATGACTTGGCCTGTAACGGTTCCCTGCTTCGTTGATCTTGGCTTGATTCAAAGATGTTTTTTTTAAGCTCAAGACTTTATTCTTTATATACAGAGTTTAAGTGAATAAAGGTCTTATGGGTTGACTGCTAAATCGCAGTAATACAGGGTATGTCTGGTTATACACTGTGTTTGCAATAGGTAAATACAAATAGCGCAAATAGCGAATAAGGAAGTGTTGCATTAAATTGATACAGTATAATCATCTGGTGTGTGGTGCCTCCTGCTGAGAGACAAAGAAACAGCATTAGGGCATTAGACTTTTGATATGTATTTGTCTTATACATATTTTGATGCATGTTGGTATTCTTATCAGTATATGGTGGCCTGTAAACATGTGAGAAGTGCAATCTACAGAAAGATTTAACATCACAATCTGAATGATGTCTTAAAACCAAGTGTTAAATACAGACAGATTACTGTGATGTACATACCTGCCTACAGATTCACTTCAGGTCTGTAAAGTGCATGATGGCCAACTGGAATGATTTAAAACACTGTTTAAGATTTTACTTATATAGACGTTCAGGACATACAAGCACAGACGGATATCCTGCTGTAAGTGTCTCAAACAGAAGTCTTGGCCTTTTGAAAACTGGAAATGTTCAGTGTGATACTGGAGGAAGGAAGTAGAAGAGCAGTAAATCCAGTATATCCAAAGATTTACGTACCCGTACGAGGTTCAGTAGAGCACTTCTGGACCTCTGTCAAAAAGAGAAAACAAAAGTTACAAGACAGTATTTGGTAAAAAAAAAAAATTACTGTAGATATCTATACTTGTATTTTATCACCTGTATGAGACAGCTTATGATGCCTATTAAGAAAAATAATTGAAAAAGTAACCTGATTAAACTTGATTAAAGTTTACAGTAGCCTCGTTTAATCCAATAAAATAACAAAAGGAGTGCATTTTCCCATCCTGAAAAAAAGGTGTTACAGGTTTTTCATCTTCACTTTAGCATTTGCCTGTAAGAATTTTCCTTCATGAGTAGCAACATTAACAGCTGAATAATGTGTTGATTAGTGGCATTTCTCAATGATACAGTGGATACATCTAGCGAGCACCTTGTGGTAAGTTAAATTGTAAAGGAGTTTTTAAACAGTGGGTCTTGATTCTCAGAAAAACTAAAATATTAAATATGTTCAAACATCAACAATTCTGGATAGTTACATTTATTTTCTATATGTGATTCTTCTTAAAAAGACAGTTCATTTAAACAGGTGTAATCCATCAGATAAGAGAAACGAGGAACGTGTACTCACGTTGAGCTCTCCATCTGTAGAACAACAGCACACACAGCAATCCTACCATCAGTGAACCAGTGACCACCAGACGGACAACTATTTTGCAGATCTCTATTGGCTCTTGACCTTGTCCAACAACAGAAAGAAATAGTGAGCTAATCTCTAAAATTAAGAAACAAAAATACATGATAATTGTTGGTCTTTTAGTTCTCCCTGTTTTAATATGCTAAACTACATTCAATGTCTCTTTACCTGTCAGAGGGGAATGTACAAATTGAGCATTTCCTTTATTTTGAAACAATAATCATGTAGAAGTAGAGAGTAAAAAAGAAACAACGTGGCAGGCATTACTTGCAGTATTGTGACGGATAATAGGATTGTGAGGAGAGTGCCTGGGATAGTTAATGAACGGGTGGGGGAATTTTCTATAAAACAACAAGCATTAACCAGTCTGGTCTGGCCTTTAACACCAGACTGTTTTAAGTGTTCAATACGATGTTGGTCAGAAACATCTGTTTTATTTTTTTAGACGTAAAAAAGAGAATTGAAATAGAATTTATATTTTTTTAAACGTGTAAACCCTTTACTGTTTTTCCCCCCTAGTTGTATATTGGTTTCTCTTCTTCTTACTTTTGCACCTTTGTGGTCCAGCTACCCAATTTCGCTGTGCAAGAAACTGCACAATGACAATAAAAAGCTCTAAGTCTATTAGAGTTTATTGTTCAATACAATCTGATGTGACACAAATACAAACTTATTCTACAGATGAATTCTCATATTTGATTGTATATCCCAGCAAATATCCCCTATCAGAGCCCTGGGCCATGCACTGGAGGCACTGTGGGGAGCCCCACAAGAACTCCTCACTGTAGCTACTCTTCATGAGCTCCCCATAGGTTTCTGTCATTAACTGTGGATGTCCACAGAATTACCTCTTGGGAGCCCCAAAGGGCAAAACTGCTTTGGACCCTGTATGTGCACACTCATTTGAGATCCACATAGAATGTGTGGGTTTGCCCTGCTCACACAGCTGAACACACCTACCAGCTGTGGGCATGGGCATCTTTGCTGGGAATATGATATAAAGTATCACGTGTGGTGCATAATTTTGTGTAATAAAGTATACCTGAAGGAGGTGTTAGTCTTGGTGGTGCTGGCATTTCAAATATGATCTCATCCTCTTTGACTCCACTGGCATTTAACACAACACAGGTATACCTCTGGAAAGTGGATCCTCTAAACAAATGGAGTCTGCCTGTGAGTTGAAACAAACCATCGTCTGACTGTGTCACCTCCATTTGAGAGCTTCCTGTCCAGTCATGTTTCTCTTCATCAAACCAGTGAATTGTTCCCTGTGGGTAGCCTCCACAAGACTCACAGATCAGGGTACTGTCTGTATTTGGGACAATTTTCTCAGGGATGGAGTATACAGTCAAGATACTGTATCTGGCTGCAGAGACAAAATGGGAAGCACAATCACTGAGCTGAACATTGCACCTTGACATTAATAAAATAACATCTTTAAAAGATGTGATTATTATAATAGCTGATATGTAAAAGCTGTCAGCAGTAATTTTCTCAGGTGTAGTGTGCTGTATTTGGCTAAAGAAATAAAAACGTAATTACAAAGATGAAGACTGCACTTTGTTTTTAATTAAATAAAATAATAATAATAATAATAATATGTAATAGCCATAGTCCTTTATATGTGATAAAAAATGTAATTCAATTTCTTATTTAAAATCTTGATTTAATAAGTCTGTGCTAAAATGTTGTAATATATGTCAGTTTTACCTTGGACTTTAAGGGTAGTGAGCATGCTGCTATCACCACTGTCTGTGATCACTATGCACTTGTAATCTCCATCGTCTGCCACTGCAGTGTTGGTGATGAACAGAGATACATTCATGTTCTTCTCGTTCCATGATGGTTCAGCAAACCTGTAACCTCGCTTTGGCTGGTCCAATTTCCCTCTATTAAAACCCAACAGGAGATCACCTTCGTCTTCTGGAGAGGTCAGTTTTTTCCAAGCAACCATACGAATATTTGGATCAGTTACAAATTGTCCTGTTTTAACGACACACTCCAGCAGTGACTGTTGGCCATAGTGTCCTACATTTTCAGTTTTGCATTCCACTTTTATAAAATCTGTAGAAACAGAAAGTAAAATTAGATGTGACGTTACATGAGTAGAGAGCACACTAAGTTCTCAGATTATGAATAAACTTACCATCACTCTTAACTGCACTGATGCAGAGGACAATGAAAATGAATAAAGGAGTGCCACCGGAGGCCATGATTATTTACCTGAAATGACAGTTAAAATTAACAGGCTCAGTTTGCAACTGTTTTACATCAAAGGGATCTGCTTTTTTACAAATTAAACAACAGGGTGCAAAATGCATTTAAGTGATTCAAAGTAAAAGCTACTTTTCCTACTCTCTTATCCAAGAGAAGTGAGAGTGTGTAGCTCCACATATTGGATTTGGCAGAATTTTGTATCTAATGGTGCATCATGTCCTTCTTGATGTAATCCCCAAGTTATTTATGTCTCCTCTTGCACTCAAACCAGGGAAAATTGTGTGTAAGCATACATTTAAACAATATTGATGCTTCTGGTGAAACAGAAAAACTGTTAAATGACCCTCTAACTATGCTAGCACTCCTCTTTATGCTTGTGTCACTTCCACACTTGCTCTTTCACTAAACTCACCTCCCATCTTGCCCGTCTTTTAAGCAGAATGAGCAGATGTGGATAATTTCTTTGATTAAGAAGGATAGGAAGCAAAACCTTTTCAAAATAAAAGCATTTAAACTGTACACAAACATGCATAAAACATACTATACAGCCAAACCGATACAACACACAGATTAAAACACTGAAACTACTTCCACCTCGTAACATATCCAGGTAATGAAATTACAGTAACTGTCTTTCTGTCTTGCTCTCTCTCTTGTCTGTTTGCCAGGCAGAGGTGTCCTGTCAGAATGCAATGCCACGCTCCCCCCTTTTTATTTTCCCAACACAGGAAATAAAGTAGTCACAGTCATCGTAATTGACTGAATTTCAGTTGTCATTTTAAAAGTATTTCATGTAAGACAGTTCATAAAAACAAAATGAGTGGTCAAACCTGTCATCATAATATGTATGGACTCAGAAACAGAAACCTAAGAGTAAGTGAAAGTTCTCATAATGTTCCCCTGCCACTGAGAGTACACCTCTATTTCTCTGGGAAACTTCTTCAAGCGGCTGGCCAAGGCTGTGAGTCTTTGCTTTGCAGTTTCCAAGGCCTCAGGTATGGACAGCTTGCTGTACTTCTTTCTGCAGCTCCCATAGCTGGCTAACCTCCCTCTGTTCTACCTTGAGTTTGACCTCTGGTCTCCTTCTCCATGGAGGGTACTGCTCCTTGTGGCTGTTCAACTTGTAACCAAGCATCTCACTGTTCACTGCTGCCATAGTGTAGATCAGCTGGGTAGTCTTGGTATTGGTCGTGGTCCATAGTGCTGCATACACATCATCTAAGGCACAGGTATCAAACTCTGGCCCGCGGGCCAAATTTGGCCCGCAGCCTAATTACATTTGGCCC